ATTTTAAAAATATTTTGCTGTATAGAATCACAATTTCAAACTCCTCCGATTTTACAAGTAAAATGATTATAACATCTAATACTCATTATACATTTTTGTTTTATTCTCAAACGTACAATTTTGTCTCTCGTAACAAGAAAAGTATTATCAAGAAATTATAGCCTCAAGGTCCCTAAAGATTATTGCACTGTATCACCGATATTTGATAAAAAGAATATTTAAATTGTCTCTGGAAAAGCGTATCTTGAGCTGTAAATATATTCAGCACGTTTCCTAATAGAAACCTATTATTATTTATGAGAAATTAGCATGCTAGGATCCTTCGTAAATCTGCCACAGATTCCCCATGAGATTGAGCAAAACCAACATGTGAGTTGGTTACGAATGTAGCACATAGGAATACATATATGTACAATTCAAATATTGAGCAGCGAACACATTTTCACAATGTAAAGATTTACGAACTGTTACATAATAGTCTATTACTTAGCGCAATGCCGACAGTTTAGATAGCCAAGCATCTTTTATTTTTAGATCTTCAAAATCTTATTTTTATAATAATATTAAATATTATGTTAAATATTTTTACATAATAATGATTATGTATTTAATATATTTAGATCTTCAAAAAATCGAATGAATTTTTAATAATAAAATATCGGTCGAAATACATATATTTGACTCTAAGTATGTTTAAAAAAATAATTATTGTTCGGAATGATTGCAATGAAACGATAATTTATCATTTGAGAGAGAATTTTTGTCACTTTGATTCTTAATGGATTAAATGAATAAAATCAAAATGCTAAATTAATTAAAATATCATAAATAAATGAATTACGCGAAAAGCGTATTTATTCGAGTCTTATCACGCGAATGATTATTTTAAAATGCTTGTGTAATTTAATATTCCACGTATATATGTCATGTACAATATTTTAGAAGAATATTTCGGAATTACATATATTTCATCTGATTATTTATCGTTTGACTCTCTCTTCTCTAAAATAAAAGACAATATAATCGAATATAATATAATTTAAATATTGAGAACGCGCAGTGAAATAATTAATTGCAGGAGTAATTATAATAAAATAATAATAAGCTTTGTTATAGTCTAATACATAATTAATCTATACTTTTAAATGCTATATAATTTAATATTCTGCTTCAATATTTTGATATAATTTAATATTCAGCTTAACATTCCATTTTAATATTTCGATATAATTTAATATGCTACGTGATACAGAGCTTTCGATAATAATTACCGCCTCTTGTGTACAGATAGAGGGTTAAATTGACAATGAGCAAGTCCAATATTGTTTTGCGATCTTATCGATTTTCAAATATCAATATACTTCTTCTAAAAAATTTCTTAAAATATATATATGTATATTTATATACACATATAAAATAAAATATTAATTACTTTTATAAGAAATATTTATTTATGTATTTCAATATATAGAAATTTATATATATATATATATATATAAATTTTTACATATTGAAATGCATAATTGAATATCTCTTTTAGAAATAATTAATAACTGATTCAATTAAGCAAGACGTAACTGTCGATATTATCTATATAATAATTACTTTTGTATCCGTTTTTTAATTAAAACAAACAAATGCTTAATTAGACCGGAAACTGATCACTGGAAACTCTCTGTGACGAACAAAAATACGTAGGAATGATCTACTTTTTATTTAAACGCAACTAATTGTCGAGCGCAGCCGTAGTCAATGAGATTGCAAGAAAATGCCGAAAGAAATCATCGTGAGCATTTCCGAGAGGATAAGAGTACTTAACGTGTTGCGGCGAAAATGGGAAAACGGAAAAAGAATGGTGCAAAGAACAATACTGCGGGATGAGAGATGGAAGACGGCTAATGCGCATCCACTGCGTTACAGATAAATGGATTAGCTAGTTACGACACGGTACGAAAAGCAAAAGAGCGCATCGGATGGGGAGAAAATAGCCGCCGGGAAGGGTTATAAGAGAGAACCGATGAAAATGTCGGTGATTTGGCGGCACGTAAATATACGAACGTAGCTCGTTATCGCTCGTGATGTATCCATTTATTTTCGCGCGATCGAACGTACTTTTATCTGCGAATAAAATGGTTAATATTAACCTCTCTCTTTCGCTCTCCATTGTAATTTGGAAACGAATATTCAATTAAATCCTTGCAGTGTTTCAACGATACATTTCAAACCGAATTCAATTTATTTCTGAATTTTCACGAAATATTCGCTTTTTGAAATAAAATACATTTCAATTTTCATATAATTTTAAAAATGCGTAATCAGTTTGAGTATCAAGTTGATCATTTAAATTTTATAAGTTTCGAAAGAAACAGGCGTAAATGACAGTTTTTAAACGAAATAATAATTATTTTTAATAATTTGCATAACAATTTAAAATATTATTTTTGGTTCAACAGTATTAATTACACGTTCATCTCTTTTTCAAACTTCTTTTGAAAGATTTTAAAATTAAAATTTTTTGTGTATTACGCGTTGTTACATGAGTTACATCGTATAATAGACGAGTTACATAAAATTATTCACAAAGAAATTATAAATTCTGCAAAAAATTCGATAAAATTTTATGTTAATTATTTAATTTACAGTAAACTGTGACGTACAATTAAATTAATTAATGAACATTATAAAATATGAAAAGTCTAGATTCTTTTTGAAATACATTTTAAATATTTAAAATAGACTGATAAACCTTTCGTTCTCTTTCTATTGTCTTTTTCAGCTTTCTATTATTTTCTATAAATATAAGATTCTTAAAAATGTTCTTATCTATAATATATATATAAGAACTTTATTATAGAATTATCTTATGATATATATTCGGTGAAATGAGTAAATTTTCCATAATTTTAATATTATCAAACAGATAACAGTCGACTAGAATACAACTTATTGTGTATTGAAATACCCGGGGTATTTTTAATTAAATTTGTTTGATTAAACTTTTTTATAAAATTTTGTATTCCAAATTTTCAATAGTAATTAAAACAAGCAATAATGCAAGCAACGTTATCGGATAATGTGGGATAAATCTTGCTCTAAATAAAAAATTACAAAATATGAAACCGTACATTATATCATTTCATATTTAAAAAAAACACAAAATTTTTCATATTTTAATCAGGTTCTACATCAATTTCTATATCAGACTAAAATATGAGACATGTAAAAAACTGCGAATTTTATTAACAAATAAATAAGAGTAAAAATGTTGGTTCCTGTAAATGTATCGAATTTATTCACTCAAATTTAAATAACCGAAAGAAAGAGAGAAGCTTGCAGATTCCGACGTATAGTATTCCTCGACTTGTCAGATATTTAAAAAAACAGCGAATGCTGGCGAGCGCTTTCAACATCGCTCGCGTTTGACCATAAAATTGCCCCTGGCGCTAGGTCAGGAATGCATCTCACTTTCTGTTTATCAGGCAAACGGCCCCGAGTATTTTGCGACGAGAGTCTGCATACCGAGATTAAGTCTCCTCAATGCCGTAGCGTCTTTAAATATTCCTTTTTCTCGAGAAACTCGCGATGATGAGATGTGTATAGCATCTAGAATCGCTCCCTAAAGCCCGCTGTTCGATAAATCCGAAGTACATTCTCGGTACTTTGAAACGCGTGACCTCTTTGAAGGTTCTGGGTCACAAGAGACACGAGCTTTCGCACACTATTAACACCCAGGGGCTATTTAATCAACGTCAGTCGATGAATAGGGTTATTAGAAACCGCTCTTCTCCTATTCAGGTATACCAGACCTACAGAAATAACCTTGACGCAAGCATATTTTTAATCGAGACGTTTTCACTTTTGCATTTTCTATGTCGACAGTCGAGCGATAAACTTTGCTCACTCATCTATATAATGGTGAACAAATTTTTGATTTAATATTCTAAAGCTTTGATGTATTTTAAAAAGAGAATTGAGTGTGTGTGTGTGTGTGTGTGTGTGTGTGTGTGAAGTTAGGATGTCATTGCATGGAAGATCATAAATAATTGAGAGTTCCGGCTTTATTTTGAATAGTTCTAGAGCTTTTGATCATTTAAAATTTTATAAACTTATATAAGTTATATAATATTTAATTTTTAATTAATCATAATTTTTGATCACTCATCTATATAATGGTGAACAAAATTTTTAATTTAATATTCTAAAGCTTTGATGCATTTTAAAAAGAAAAGTAAATGTGTGTGAAGTTAGGATATCATTGCATGAAAGATCATAAATAATTGAGAGTTCCGGCTTTATTTTGAATAGTTCTATAGAGTTTTTAATAATTTAAAAGTTTATAAATTTATAAGCTGTATAATATTTAATTTTTAATTAATCATTCTTTTTGTACGAATCGATTATAAATTTTACTTCTTTTTTCTTTATATGCGACACTGAAATAATTTAATTATTTTCCCTGAACTCTTTTGAAATTGAATATTACGCTCAAATTTTATCAAGGCTAATTCGCAATGAATATATAACATTTATTTTATAATAAATAATATATTTAAGGAAATAAGAAAAAATATATACTACACTGAATAAAAAATTATTGAATTCGAATAAATATTGATTTCAATACTGCGAAAGGAATCATTTATTTGAAACTAATAATATTAATTTGATATGAAAAAGATTTATTTGATATAAGAAAATCCTTTTCAAAATCAAATATTTATTGATTTCAAATAAATGATTCATTTGACAGAGTATTCAAATAAATATTTAATTTAGTCATTTTTTTCAGTGTGGGATATGCAATAAAAATTAAATAATATATGAATGGCATCAAAGTTGTGCGTAAGTTTCATTAGATAAGATTCTTGCCTTGTTCGGGGCTCAAAGTTGATTAGCATAGACGAAACTTTAATCGTTTGAAAGCGTTATCGCCACGAAATGCAGTTTGCTGTTTTACTTAAAGATTAACGCGATCATATTCGTGTGTGCTCACTTTTCAGGTGCTATATTCACTCATGACCAAAAGGATAGCAGCACAGAGCTGGCCTTCAAGTACGCCGTTTACAAGATCAACAAGGACAAAATTATCTTGCCAAAGACCACACTGGAGTACGACATCCAGTACGTGCCAAAAGATGATTCCTTCCACGCATCGAAGAAGGGTGAGTGAGGCTATTCGTTTAATTCCTTGCATGTGATTAATGTATATTATATATATATATATATATATATATATATGTATATATTTTATATATTTTATATATGTTTTATATATATATATATTATATATATATATATGTATATATTTTATTTATATTTATATATGTTTTATATATATATATATATATGTATATTTACATATATATATCTATCTATATATATATATATTATTTATTATTTATTATATATATTTTATATAGTTTATATATATATATATATTTTTATATATATACGTTCTCCATTTTCAAATGACCTAATTAATTTTATTTATCGTCGACGCAAGAAATGACGCAATTTCAGCGTCAGAACTTATCGTGCAGAAAATTCTTCAGTATCGTAATTAAACGATGCCGCATTGCACATAGGTTCGTAAGAAATTTCACTTAAATTAAAAAACATTCCTCACGCTCATTAATCTCGCGGCTTTCCGCGCGTCAAAAATGATTTATTCCTGGCTGCTTGTTTTGTTTCCACAATTACAGAAAATTGCAAAATGGCTTGATAATACATTTTGACATAAGTTCAAGATAAGGTATTTAAAAAAATATGTGGGAGACAATTTTTTAATCTTTTTTTTGTTTTGCCAAAACTTTTATTCACACAATTCTTTTCATCGAAAAGCACGATATTAAAATTTTTTAATTAAAATTATTTTCACTTTAACTCATAAATTAAATTCATAAATTTATAAATTTACAAATGTATAAATTTGAAAATAAACTTGTAATTTTAATTCAAAATTAAATGAAATCAAATTTTAATATAAAATTTAATTTAATTTGTATCTTGAATTAAAATGATCTTAAATTAAACTAATCTTGAAAATTTCGTTGTACTCGGAAACGACCGAATAATCGATCCTAAACGCCTATTAGAGTCGAGATGAAGGAGGACGATTTATCGGGCAAAATCATGATACTCGTGCGAGAATATCTCGGGGTGTGTCTTGAATATCACGAGCGTCCTTATGTAGTCAACGTGCAATGTAAGGAACGTTACCGTAAGCAAAATTTATCATCTTGACAGCATGTATATATAAACCAACCGAGAATAATAGGCTCGCTCGTGGCTCGTCATTATTAAAGTACCACATACTCATTATTATCCTTTTTCGTCCTTCGCTATCGGATACGGTAAACAACCGTATCTGATTCGTTTCATGGCATCATTAAAAGCATTTTCCACGCCTCCTGTCCGATATATGAGAAAATTTCGGAGACAAAATTTATTGTTGTCTTTACACGCTGAAATATTTCTATGATATGCTTCAGCATGTTGGTTCTTTTATACTACTGACAATCCTTAATAATAGTATTAATATTATATAGGTAAAAGTATTTTACCTATTTTTGTTATCACACACACACATATGATAATCCCATAAATTTTTTATATAAATTTATTAATTAAATTTAATCACTAATTTAATTAATTTATAAATTATAATATATAAATTAAATTTATATAAAAAACTAGATATCATAAAAAATGATTAAAATATCGTATTATGATAACAAAAAATTTCTATTTTCATTTTTTGCAAGAAAATTCTCGAAACGAGCTTCTTTTCAAATATATGGTAAAATGTAGTACAGATTCGTTAGTTTCGTTGTTCTAACAAAAGCAGAATTTACTGTAATCCTGCAAAAGTCGAGCAGATTTAGCATTTCTTTGTTTTTCTAGTAAATATCCGGATTTGCGTCATATTTAACTCTTTATAAAGAACTCTTTTATTCGTCGAAAATAAACGGAATGAAAAACTCTAATCTAGGTCGACACCATCGTTTCTGATCGAATAGCAACACAATTATTATATGCACTACAAACGTTATAACTGTTCGATGTAGATGATTAGTTCTCGATATTTGCCTTCGGCTAATATTGATGACAGATTCATTAACAAGCTGCCTTTATAATTTTAGCTTCAATTTCGGATCTAAATTTTGCCAGGGAATCCATATTGTTTAATAAAAACAACGTATTCCATATAAATGAGGTGTATATTCACAGATATGAGATATGTATAAGACGTATTTTTAGTTGATTGGTTTTTATTTTTGTATTTTAAATATCGCGAATCACTGAATTCATAATACTAATATTAATTATAATAACAGCAAAAGTTTGATACTGTCTTTGACTATATAATATTTTAAAATAAGATTTGAAGGGTCTGATATTAAACAATATTATAGTAATATTGTATTTTCTCTATGTTGTCACAGAAGTTTTGATATGACGTCTGGAACGCGATATTTGAACGTGGCTTTGTTATATCCTTTCGCATGTAAGCACGCAAACTACATTCATGAAATCCGATTTATTCAAATTTATTTTTCAATGTAATTTATTATATATTTTCATTTTTATGTTGCATATATACAATACTTTTAACCCACGAGCTTTGTAATCCGATTTTCCTGTGCTTATTTTATAAAAAATGTTGTATCAGGTTTATTTTATATGCCTTTCTAAAATTTATTTCGTTAAAACACAATATGCGGCCTACATAACATTTTTATAATTGTTAAATCAGAGGATTATATATTGCAACACTGTATTGCAATTTCGGAATATTAAATTTTAAAGCACTATTTTATGTTATTTATTTATAATTATTTATATTATTAAATAATTATATTATTAAATAATTTTAATGAAATTAACTCTTTACATTATTATAATGTGATTTAAATTTTTCCATATATCTGGATAAAGTTATTCTTGGAATATGAAGCTGATCAGCTGTTGCTCTTATACTCTTTCCTTCTTTTAAAATGGCATTTGCAGCTGTTTGAAGTCGTTCCTGCGTTGTAGAAGCTCTATTTGTCTTTCGCTTATATGTATACGCATTCTAAAATAAATAAACAGCAAAATTACTATTTAAATTAATACATTATTTAACTATATATGTGGGGTAAGTTGGGCCACTGTCACAACAAGTCCCGTCTATGAATTTTTCAATATATATCCTTATAACTCGCATATTGTTTAAAAATATGCAATTTGTACAATAGCCTCAAATAATATAATAATAACAAATATTAAAATTTAACTTATTTTAAAATTATATTACTTACTTCAATTTTTTCTACCCTCTCGTTAACGTTTGAGACCAAAACTCAGCAACGACAAAAAGTTCACAAACAAGGTATAAAAACACATATGTCGTGTGTCCGTCCGTCTCGAGTGACTGAACGCGACTAAACTCGGTGCGCGATATCATCGTTATAAAACGCTCTTGCACGTGCAAGCTCGTTCCTGTACGCATCTTTGTTTCTGAATAACCCAGCCATTGACCTACTTGCCCCAACTAGCTTCGGTCTACCCTACACATATCTCGAATAAAAATATCTTTCCATCGAGCTTCTTTAAATATTGAATATACACACGTGAATATGTTATTAATTGTTTGTTGATGGAAGATAAATCAGATGCATCTCTAAATTCGAACGATGATATAACATACGTATACATACGCTTTCAATTGCTCGCAACCAGGGAAACTTTAGTCGTTGATATTGGCGAATTCGTAGCTCGGAATTGCCACGTAGATCGATAGAATGTGTACATGTATCGTGTACCACTTTGGTTGGGAAGCCACTTCGAAACCAATCCATAGTCTGCTTGTAGCGCCGAGGGTTTTCTCTAGTGACTTTTCATGGACCCGTTGGTTCATCCACGGTAGCACGAGATAGTCGAATTTATTTATTTCGAAGTTACGTGCTCCGAAAATTAAATATATTGTACATATATATATATATATATATATATATAATGCGTGAAAAAAATACGCTACAATAATCAAATAATCTTCGTTTCTCGTTAATTGCAATTGGACTTTATACAAATAAAGATTCCGATTTTGAGACTTTATTCAGATATTCTTTTAATATAATTAGTCCAGTAAAATTAGATTTGAAAAGAGCAAAACTTCATAAAAATTAGGAACAAGCTGAATTTTTGTGGAGACCTTTAATGAAATCCTGAAAAGTACCCTTAATTTCATCCAGCGCGTTTTTTTATGGGGAGTAAATTTTATTTGTTTGCCATTATCTCGAAAACTATCAATTTTTTGAGAAAAATAGTTATTATTAAAATTGTAGCTCATAAAATTCTCTACAAAAAAGGCAATTATACTTTTTTTCGTACAACTAATTGTTTCTGAGTAAAAAACGGGTTCGTAAAAAATACGTACTCCTTATTTCCACACCATTGCAAGGGTAGAGTACTGGGCGCGTTTTTTCGCTCTATATCTTTGAAACGGTTAATTCCACGAAAAAAAGTATAATGATCTTTTTGTAGGGAATTTTATGAGTTACAATTTTGTTAATAACTATTTGTCTCGAAAACTTGATAGTTTTCGAGGTAATGGCCAAGAAACTAAAATTTACTCCCTTCTATTCTCCCATAAAAAACGCCCTGAATGAAATTAAGGGTACTTTTCAGGATTTTATTAGAACATTGAAATAAAGGTCTCCACAAAAATTCAGCTTGCTTCTAATTTTTATGAAGTCAAAATCTAATTTTACTGGACTAAATATAGAGTTGTCAATTATTTTGTCTATCTGTAATAAAATTTAACGAAGACGTGAAACGTCTTTCCTGAATCGACAGAAATAAACCGTATCTCTCGAATCGATCGGAAGCAGTATTAGTGCATCGCTCGTTTTCCCATAGAATGAGATCACCATACAAATATTAACGTAGCAATATGCATCGCGCATAGAAAATCCGATAACCAGCTTTCATATAGTATAGTGTGCATATAACCGTAAAGGTCTACGAAAAAAAGAACGTATTCTTTGGCGCAGATAACGTCAGTTTGCAATATCCAACGATCATCGCCGCGATCTCTACGTGGACCATTTGCATGACCACGTGCATACACTTATGCAAACAACGCCGTATTTAAGGCGACGCGACAAATAATAGTACCAGT